ACCTAAATGTCCAGAATGTGACAAAATAATAATTTTTCATTGATTTCTATCAGTAACCTAAACGTAAACAACACGGTGTTTGACCTGAACTTCCATATTGAATTTCGTTTGACAGGTCATGAGATTGCCTAATTTGACGTTCTCTCAATTCAATATGGCGCCGTGCGAATAACAAAACGTATATCTTCGAAATTTGACGTATGTCAAAAAAATACGTTTTTGGTTGTCACTCCGTCAGTTTTTGACGTATATCGATGAGACTTTTTATTTAGGGTTTTTTTGGGTCCGGGGATCGTTTTCCGTCACTTTTTTTTTCGAAATTCGCAAAATAAAAAAAACAAACTTTTTTGACGTTGACAGCTGTCAATTTTTTCTGACACAAACCGATAGTTGGCGTCGTGAAACCGCCTTGTACCGGGGTTTGGTTGTCGTAGCTTTTATAGTAGAGCGGGGAGAAAGTCGGACATGTCAAATTTGACAGGGTGACATCTGTCGATATCGCCAAAGCGTTGTGCGACAAAAGTTCTATCCGATCGCATCCTCGGATTTTGACGTATGTCAAAAATGACGTTTCGCCTTGTCAGGCCGTTAATTTTTGACGTATGTCAATGTCAATTTTTTTTAAGGGGTTTTAGGGTCCGGGGATTCTTTTCCGATACTTGGATTTTCATTTTTCCGAGAAATGCAAAAATAACTTTTTTGACGTTGATAGCTGTCAAATTTTTTTGACACCGATAGGTGGCCCACGTTGAATAAACATTATACACCGAGTTTGGGGCTTTTAGCACAGCTTTCCGCCGTTTTCGAAGGCACGGTTTATAGTTTTTATTTGTTATGCCCACGCCGTCATCTTGAATTATCAGCTGATTCGAATTGCCTAATATGGAATACAAATTTAGACATTACGAGTTTCGACTCGAAAAATCCACATGAGCTAGACAAAGATAGATATATCGATTCATATCATGTCGGACTCGAGATAAAATTAAATTAAAAAATTTACTAAATGTCTACTTCGCAGTACAATATGGCACAGTCATGTTGTTTCGGAATGATTTACTGAAATGTGAAATATGGCGTCATCGCAGTTTTAAGCCTTTGACGTTACATTGCTGGCAGCAATTTGAAAATTGGATATAACACATCGAAGTAGGCCTTTTAAAGTTTCTCTTGCTTTATCCTTATGAGAGGAAGAGAGATATGTATGACCCACTAGAAAAATTCCATTTAGTAATTTGTGAGTTTCATTTGATTGAGGTTATGTTTATGTTATTTTTAGAATGACGTCATCTGGGATGCTTCAACATATTGCAAATCTCTATGAGACACCCCAAATGACGTCATCAAGTAGCCCTTACCAGATAACCTATTAACTTTAGGAACCTTGCTAGAAACAATATAATTTTGTTAAAGATGTATTTTTGTCAATAACAACTGTAGGGATTTTCTTAGTCAAAAGTATTTTTTGGTTGACAAAACTGTTGATATGTCAGATGTCAATTGTCTGGATATAACCATGAAATGTCATCTTTGATAATTTGACATAATATCCATTTATTGTAAAGTAGCAAAAATATTGACGTTTCATGCTAAAAAATCCATCATCAAACATTATGTTTTCTTTTGAATTTACCCCCATTGAATTTTCTGGATGTCTATTCTTGAAAGCCTGAGATCTTTATCGGTGTTATGCAAATACAAATAAAACAAACAAAGACAGGACTCATTTCAACCCTGGTTTCGAGGATAAGAACCCTGGTAGAATTTTCGCATGATTGAAAAGTTTTGCTGTTCGACAATACGACATCCTACACTATACTTATCTCTCTTAATTTTAATTTCCAAGCCCAGTTCATTTTTTTTCTACATCCAAGTAGGCCTTTTTAAAAGTGTCTCTTGCTTTTATCCTTATGAGCGGGAGAGAGAGATATGTATAATATAATACGGCGGAGAAATATATACAATATATAGAGCAATTTGACGTTCTCTCGATTGAATTCAATATGGCGCCGTGGGAATAACATACCTGACAACCGCTGCTAAAGGCACGTTTACATTCAATTAAGATTGAAATTGCAACCAATAGGGAACTTAACATTTGTTTTTTTTTTTTTAGTTTTTGAATTGATTTCTCAGTAGTATCGCCATAACAAGGATGATACACACCTACAAGGATTGCTTATCGGCCTCGCCGCCATATTGGTGTTACCATTTCCGACGTCATAACTAATTCGTCAGCTATTTAAACAACCTATTTCAAGGCGAGAAATAAGATGCTACGTCACAGCTGGTAATTTAGCGTGGGGGATTTTTTACACACGGGCCTTATGAAGATAGGCCATCATGCAGTAATAGTGTAGTGTGTATCATCTTTGTCACCATAAGCCAATGCGAGTAAAACAGAAACGAAAACATTATTTTTAAAAATTCATAAAAGATTGTATTATTATTAAAATTAAAGGCGATTAACCGGTCGGTCACAGTTGACAGATACCGAATGAAGCAAATGTCATTTGTCAACCAATCGATATTGAATGGCGTTAAATGCATTGTCCATCTGTCAAAAAAAACCGACTGGTAAATCGCCTTTATTTGACTCAAATCTAATAAGTGTCATTTCATCAAAGTTTCCTATTGGGGGCACCTTCGCGATCGTCAAATTTGTAATGCCCACGTCGCCATCTTGAAAGCAATTTTTTGACAGTTCAGTTTGAGGTTGTTTATGTTAAAAAAATAATTGATTTAAGATGGCGATGTGGGCATAACAAACTTGACGTCCTTGAAAGTGCCTTTCCATTCAATTCCAATTGATTGTAGATTGAATGTGAACGTGCCTTTACTGTTGTCAGGTGTGCCATTCCCACGGCGCCATATTGAATTTATAGAACGTTAAATCACCCATTTGACAACTATAAAATATCATCTTTAATAATATGACATTCGACTGATTCTGACATGATGTCTATCCAAAGAGTTTTTTGAAGAATGAATGTGAAACTTGTGGAATAGATGTTATGTGTGTACCGAAAATTGAAGCCAACAGGATCAATACATTGACATTTGACACTTGACAATGACATTTCCAACATGACGGTAATGTTCTAGGGGGTCGATTCTCGATTGCCCCAGAGAATAGAGCTTCCCAAAATGTTTCGTCTTCATCATTCAGGTTTATTTTAGACGAGAATCCGGCCCCTGAATACAAAATTTCACTTCTACCGCGTGTGAGCTTCAAGGATATTACACACTATTGCAGGATTGCTCTTCGGTTTGGATTTTTGAAATGCACGTTGATTTTTGAAGTGAAACTTTTTAAGCTTACTTTTCATGCATCCGTTTATCCGTCAGTCCGTTGATCCGGAAGGATTCCTATTGGTCCAATATTCTGGCGCCAAAATATTGGACCAATAGGAATACTTCTGGATCAACGGATTGACGGATAAACGGATGGATTAAAAGTACCTTTAGGCGGTGGTCTTATATTTGGATGACAATAGAGAGTAATTTGAAAAACGCGTCACAAGCAACTTGAGAGAGAAGAAAGATATAACGTAAAAAGACAGCTACTGATTGACACAAACCAAGAATTCTTTTCACGTGGCTCCGATTTAACAAACCGCGACATACTACCGCTCAAATTCGAGTGGTATTGATGACGTCAGTTTGAAGATACACGTGAAATTTTGGTGCAGTTATCAGAGGGTACATCAACCTATTATAAATATTAACAGGCCGTTGGGTTGCTTAATTTAAAATAACATTTTTCTAACCCTTCGTTTTTAAGTGGCATTTTCAGCGACGTTATCACTTTACATACCGCTACTAATCGTTTTTTAACCTGGTTAGTTTAAGCCGGAGCCACGTGAAAAGGACTAAGGAATATAAGCGCAGAGAAGATTGCCAATTCACTCTTGTGACGTCACTACAGTTGCGCGTCTCCTTTTTGTTATACTATCATTATTGTGTTTTGTGATTATTTTCGTTATTTATCTGTCATTATATGAGTATAATTATTGAAATGTTATCAAAAATTATATTAGAGATGGAGAAAAATAGCCACTGATTGCCACAAATCAAGGATTATAAGCGCAAAGAGGATTGGCTATTATTGTTATTTGTTAAGCGCCGATACCCTTGTGACGTCACTACAGATGCACGACCTCCTTTTGACTCATAAGCTAAGTCTAAAAGTTGTATTAAAGGGTAATAGTTTTTGAGAAGTTTCACTTCCTAACACTTGTACGGCGCTGCATATGATTTTTTAAATTTTTTTTTAATACGAACCTAAATTTTTTATTGTATTGTATTCAAGGTTCCTAAAGTTAATAGGTTGTCTGGTGAGGAAGGGGTAACTTGAAGACGTCATCTGCGGTGCCTTATGGAGATTTGCATTATGATGAGGCAACCCACATGACAAAGATATCAGGCAACCTACCTCTATCATACAATCTTGATTGTATTGTTATACTGGACAATATATCATACATTTTTTCAACCATTATTAGGTTTTATAGGTTTTTCTGGTAATTTTTGACTATAAACGTCATATCCTCTACACTATACCTTATCTCTATAATATCCAAGTAGGCCTTGTATATTTTCTCTTGCTTTATCCTTATGAGACGGAGAGAGATAGGTATGTATGATACGATGGAGAAATTCTATTTGATGGATTTTCTCATATGAGGACCAAGAATATGAGAATATCTTATTAATAAATTGTCATACATAAAAAAACCGATACAATTAGTGAAATATACAGTGTGGTCCATTTAACTTGAGATAGTCTATTGTGATTGAAAGTTGTCAAAGTGAAAAGTTATCATTACCAGTCTCTTTCCCCCGTGACACCCATAGGTATAACTTTTTATTGAATTTTTCTTTTTCTGAAAAACGTGTAGTTTTTGAGATATCAGATACTGTTTCAAGTTGAATAATTATTGACAACCCTGTATATTATTTGTTTAATTTCAGGTAGATTTCAGACAAAATCCTCATACCTGTACAACATTTGCTCCTCAAAATCACTGGGGCTCCGCTTCAAAGACACTGCGAAATTGGCCATCACAAAAATTCCTGGTAAGTAAATCTTTATTTATTGAAAATAAGAAAAACCGCACACTATTAATAATAATAATTCATAATGCACTCTCGTATATTAGAATAATACACCGCGAGTCCGATCTTTCAGTCGTCGACAATGCGAGATACTCTTCCTACGGCGGCTGGAATCTGACTAAACTGAAAATCACATTGGGAGCCTGAAAGATTACGCGCCGCGCTGAAAACCATCGGGGGGTGTGGGTAAATTTTCAGTCAGGTGAGGTGCAACCCCTTAAAATGCTAGGGGATGAAACTTCAGTCATTTGAACAATTGAAGAATTCATTCCATCATCATTATCATCATCATCATCAGTCCTCGTGCATATATATATATATATATATATGCTTTTTTCACTTGTACCTAAAGGCTATCCGTATATATGTGTGTGCACCTCTCTCGTATGGCCTTCATTTTTTGATTTATAAATAATAAACTGGGATCCTGGGAGGCCTGCGGCAAGGCTCGATAATACCGGCCGGAGCCCCCCCTAAGGCCGATTCGACATGTGGCAGTCGATATCGTGAATAATAAAAATTATTGTATGCACTTTATAAGTTCTGTCTTTCTCTCTATATTGTATGATGCTGGACTTTTGGTTTTAAGGCCTGTTTTTAGCATAGCAGGTGATATACCGGAGGAAACTTTAAGTATTTGAATAGATTGTGGAAATGTTTAAGATTATGACGTAATCAAACTATTACACAGATTTGTTAGTAAGTGCAAGAAGACTACTGTTAGTGTTACTATACCATCATACCACATATTTAAACTTACCTACTAGAATGGCACCAATGTCTGACGTAGATATCTTGACCCACGATTCTTGTCTTGACCGACCAATAAAAATCGTTCACAATGTCTCTGACGGACATCTTTGATGCTTTCTTTGTTTAAACTCTAAAGAGTGACAATGACGACATTCGTTATTTTGCACCTTATTCGTTTTATGTCTGACCCAAACTAACTGACCTGATTTCTCAAGACTAATATGGCGTTTGGACATACTGATCACTACAAAAATTATTGTAGTACAATTGAACAATTTAACAATTACATTAATTTCGAGACAATCTTAGGAATCAACAATGGCAACGACAATTTGACAACGTTACAATATTTACTAATTTGTGTAGCATTTAAATTTGAATGTCGCGCGCCAATTTACAGTTCTCTTCTTTACCGTCTTATTTTTGATTTGGCAACACTGCTCTCGGTGATGACAGAAGTGACATCCCGCGAAAAAGTGACAATGTCAATGCCAGTTTTTGGCGCGGACATTCTATTAGATTGCAGAACGAAAACGTGCATCATTTAAGTTATGTTAATTAGTTTTTGCTCCCAATTATGATTATTAAAGTTTATTTAAATTAGTTGTGTTCATCGATTATTTTCCTCTGCAACAATCCGTAGTAAAAACCCCTCCTTACTACATTTGCAATATCACTATTGGTTGTTGCAACCAATGACGTCATCTTTGGCGGGTGTTTTCAAAATAGTGTTAACCAGAGGTATACTTGATATGTGTTCCAAAATTTGAAAGAAATATTACTCTAAAGATCAGAATTTGAATTGAATAAAAGTGTATTGTTTCTTGTTTCAAATGGAAAAAAATTATTCAGGAATATTTAATAGTGCTTTGTCTGTACCGAACCCAAATACGATCGTGAACCGTTGAACCCTTTTCTCGTTAGTCACCCGGGCCCACGCGAACCAGAACCCGCGAGGAGCGCCGCAATGTGGGTGAGCCCCCTCAAGGGCCCCAGCCTCATTAAATTTTTCAGCAAACGAAAATTTTCGTTTCGTGTTATTTTCCGCTAACGTGTTCTACCGGAGTTACTCCCCGTCAATCGTTGTCTCAACATGTGGTAAAATAATTTCCTTCGGTAGCCGGTACCAGACCGGACGGTTAATGGCCGGGTATTATCTCCGATCTTAGTTTATAGAGAGCAAAAAGCGCCAACCGGCCATAATTAACCGTTTATGGGCGTAGAACATTACTCTCTTATTTGCATAATGGGGCGATAACTAGCTTTATGGGGTCTTGTTAGGATATCAAAACTTGATTAGAAAAATTTATGTAGGTGTACCTACGACACATTTTTTCGGAATGATTCAAGTCAAAAGTTCTCTTCGTATTATTTCGTGCGGTGCGTGACGAGCCCCGCAGCGTCAAAGTCCAAATAGTTCCCAGAGGAAAGTGATCTTGGATCAAAATCCACCACTTGTCGTTGATGGCTAATCACGTATGATGTTTTCCCACATCGTAGAGAGCCTGCCATTAACAATCTATAAACTTTTGAATCGATATTGCAGTTGTTGTTTTGCATTTCCAATTTCTAATCTAATCAGGGCTAAGGGCATAATCTGCCAACAAGTTTCAGCCAAGTCAGTGATTATTATTGACAGGCAAGTTAGCAAGAAAATCTTAAAATGGATTTGTTTCATGTTAATTATATTAGGAGATGGTGAAGTTCATTCATCAATTTTTTATGTCAAATATGTCATAACATAACATGTCAGCGTTGTTTTTTTTAGATTGGTATCGATACAAAATAACGTAAGTCCAACCTGATGTAGTACCGTCATGAATGACACAAACGAAGGACCATTAATTTTCCCCGGCCAAATACGGGCAAAAAGGAATAATTTGTACTCGCTGACAAGTGACATTACCGCCGTTATCGCACGGCAAGATAAATTTTACGGTCTTGCCATGCATTTGTATCCTTGCCTCCGGGGCGGTACCCAAATAAGGCCGTTGTTGACCTTAAAAAAATTAATCCCACAATCGATCAGAAATGATAATCTTCTAATCTACTATTGATAGATTTTTTCCTTCTATATTTCAATATTTCAGTTTGTTATTATTGAAGAATCACGAAATTCATCAAAGAAATCAGCGAACTTGTTATTACGGGCCTGAGAAAATCGTTTATTGAATCGTGGATTTAGTATTAAAGAATTCGTACCTAATTATTTTAGGAGTTTAACGGAACAAACCTCTCTATTTGCTGTCATTCTTGTCAAGTTTTCACGTTAAAAGGACAGTTGGTAACAATGACATATTTTTTTAAGCATCTCAATTTTTATAATAATGTATTATTTGTATGATTGATACTCACCTCGTCCTTACCCAAGAGTGTTTGAAAAAGGTAGGTTGCCATAACTTTAATGACGTCATCTGTGATGCCTAAACATAATGCAAATATCCATTAGGCACCCAGATGACGTCATCTTTTTCCAATTACCAAAGAATCTATTAACTTTAGGAACCTTGATCCTCACCTACCTTCAGAAGATTTAGTGACATTTAGTAAATTTCTACTGCCAACCTACCCAAAACTAAATGTACTTTTTAACGCATTTGAAGTAGGGGAATGTTAGATTTTTTTGGATGGCAACGTCGCGCGACGTTGTTATTTTTAGCTGTCAGTGGTCTTGATAATTTACTATGACATTCTGGTAAATTATAAGAAAAAAAAAGGCATTGACAACATTGTCTGTCCTTGTTCTATGACATCATCCTTAATATAAGGTTAATAACCCATAGGCCTCGACCTCTGGTTACGATTCTTGGACCTCTGGAATGTTGGCGGACACCAAGGTTGTTTGAGAAAGGTAAGTTGCCTGCATGGTTGGTTGCCTGATAATTTTTATGACGTCATCTCTCGTAATGCGTCCAAAGATAGCTATATAGTAAGGGATACCTTTTTTTCTCTAGTTCATTGCTGTTAGGTTTGAAATATTCCTAACCTCAAATATAATATTAGGCAATTCAATCCATCTGTCAAAAAGAAAAATTCAATGTGGCGTGGCGGCCAAGCAAGTTTGTTTTGGATATGTTTTTATGCATATTTCAAATTATTTTGCATACAGTTTTGCTTACAGCTTTGATTTTCATTATTTAATAAAATATTTGTTGACTAGGTACCTAAACTATTAATTCCAGCAGAAACTAGATATTTTTTTGTGTTTTTAGGCCCATGTGTGGCCGCCACGCCATCTTGAATGTCACGTGGTTTGAATTGCCTAATTTTTCAGACATGGAAAGATTTTCATAATTGGCCTATAAGGTAAATAGAAATAAGTATCCCCACATTCTCCATCTTAATTTGCCTCATTTTATAGATAGGCCGGGTCATTCCAGGTAAGTGCAGTTTATAGTTCATTGAATGCAAATTTCCATAAGGCACTCCAAATGACGTCATCAAGTTATCTTTACTAGACAACCTATTAACTTTAGGAAACTTAGGCGAACACTTGGAAAAAATAAATAATCGAGGTTAAGGAAAAGGGACATTACTTCGATTGTAGCAGGCAATAATATCGATTGTTTTCGAAAGTAGGAATATACTTTCACATTCATAATATACAGGGTGTCCCACCGGACACCAAATCGATTTATACAGACAGGAAAGGACCAGGCTACTGCTACTAGACAAATAGGCTTCAATGGGTCCAGTTGACTGATACCCATTTCAATACAAAATCAACACGGTGGATCATTATTTTTGATCGTTCCTGCATGTTATTGAAATTTGTGTATCTTCGGCAGCTCGGCTATACTCGACTTCGGCAACGCCGCCTCAATTCGCTTAAGCCGGGTACGAGTCGTCTTATTCCTGTGTGTCTAGTAGGTTGATTCGGTCTGTATGAAAAATTGTATGCAGAAAAATTGGACAGTATCCTGTTAATCTGGGCCAAAGATAATACACACTACCAAGGATTGCTTATCGGCTCCGTTTTTGGTAATCGCGGCCATATTGGTGTAATACCATTGTCGACGTCATTAACTAAATAGTCAGCTGTTTGCGTCAGCGGTTGTAGTTTAGAATTTAAATTTAGAAGATGCAAAACGAGCTCTAAAAAAACGGTTATTTCAGTATGTTAAATAATGAACTAAAACCAAGTTTACATTAAGCAAAAGCTCGCGGAATCATAACCTGTGATGCAAGCACCCCAAGGATACAAGTACCCTACGTCAAGGCGAGAAACGACATGCTGCCTACGTCATCACTAGTGCTTCGGCAGAGTGAGATGCTTCAGATTTGTTCCACACAGGCCTTATGAGTATAGAGGCTTATAGTAGTATGTATTATCCTTGAACGTGAACAACCCATCTGAAATATTTTCAAAATGGTGGCAC